TTTTATATTTTATGCAGAAATATATAATTTTATAATACTGATTGCTAATGCTTATTTTATGTTGAATTTTGGAGCCAAAATTTTTGTGACATCAAAAAATCATTTTAAAAATCAACTTGCCACTTTCATATCCCCTATCTAGCTGTCCTTGGCCATCCTAGCTAGAAATTTCTCACAGTCACAACTCAACTTTTGTGCTTGATGTCTTGCACTTAGACAAGCTGCCCCTCCTCTTTCTAAGCCCACGGTGTTAGCACAGTGGAATGGAGCATGGATGACTAGCTGATTTATTGCCTGACTTTGCCTTGTACGTGTGGCACAGGAAGAAGATTTACTCCGGTACCACGTGGTCCTGGAGGAGAAACTCCTGAAAAATGACTTGCACAACGGCATGCACCGGGAGACCATGCTGGGCTTCTCCTACCTCCTTGGCTTCTTTCTCCACAATGATCAGGTACACCCTTCCATTCAAAACCCAGAGCAAGTGTCTCATCTTCTATCCACCCTTACTTCTTCTGTACTGGAGGAACCTCTCCAGATCTTCCTACACTTTATCAACACAAGCAGTTGTTTTTCCTATGCCAGAACGTAGTGGCTAAACTTCATTGTCAAGTTTCCATTCACATGTTGTGTGGTCAGTCTTCTGATAACCAGCGTAGGCCTGCAAACTATGGTATTTGAATCCCAGTAGTAATGGGCATCCTTCAGCACAGGTACCACAAACCCAGCAGACAATCTTCAAGTAATCTTCAAACAGTATCCAAGATGGAAGGGAACCTTGTTGCTCAAGCTAACTTGCAAGATGTGGCACTGGCTCCAGGAAATTAGGAGCCTAATGATATGTATAAGGCCCAGCAGCCAAATAAATTAACAATATCATTGCATAATCTTAGAGACTGCATCAACCTCCACACTGGTATTCCAGTGCTTATCTTATACAATGCCTAAGTATTTAAATGATCAGAATTCATAAGAGAGATTCACATGACTAAATATTTACTATATTTGCAATATAAAAATCTAATTCTTTAAGAGTCCATATGTATAGCTAAAGGCTACATAACAAGAAACAATGCCAGACAGGTGATACCTTCTTTTGAGTTGTTGGCCAGGGTGGCCCAAGAGACTCCCAGACAGTAACCCAGCATAGAAATGGGAAAATGAACAGCAGACCCCAATCTTATCTAAGGAATATTGGCAACTGATTGCTGCTAGAAGAGGAAGAGGTGATCTTCCTAAAACAAGGAACTCTAGATAGACTGACTCAATTCAATGGATGGACTAACTGGGGAAGAGCAGGGGCACTGACAACGCAGTGGACAGTAACAGGGATGACAGAGTATATGGCCTCCAGTGGCGGGGGGCAGGCTATGGGAGGCTAACATTTGAGATACAGGTAAGAAGATGAATATGATTGTTTGGGATGTTTTGTATGAAATACACAAAAAAAATCAATCAATAAAAAATGAGTTAATTTTTAAAAATCTCTTCATGTATTTCAAGTACCAAGTTTTTTAAAAATCTGTAAAATTTCGAAGCCAGGCATAGTGCTGCACGTCTTTAATCCTAGCATTCTGGCGGTAGAGGCCAGCAGATCTCTGTGAGATGGAGGACAACCTGATCTACACAGCGAGTTTCAGGCTAGCTGGGGCTACAGGGAGACCCTGTCTCAAACAACAGTAACAACAACAACAAAAAAAAATCTATGAGAATTTAATAAGAAGCAATATCATTCTAAAATAAATTCTCACAATTTTTAAAATTACTTAAGAGACATTAAGAATCCAAGTATGGCATGTGCCTCTAATCCCAGAACTATGGAGGCTGAAGGAGAAGGATTACAAGTTTGAAGCCAATCTACGCTACATACCAAGTTCCAGGCCAGGGTAGCCTTAGCTACTAACAACACCTTACCAGAGAAAGTGGACAAGGGAGCACAGGGAGAGGGGGGCACATGCATTATATTGGAATGAAAGTTTAATTGTGCAGACTTTGAAGCAATAATATTATTTGATCCTTTAAAAAATGTATAATCTGGGACTTCAGCAGTTAACAGCACTGGCTGCTCTTGCAGAGAACCCAGGTTCGATTCCCAGCACCCACATAGCAGCTAACAACTGTCCATAACTCCTGTTCCTGGGGATATGACACTCTCTTCTGACCTCCACAAGTATTGCATGACATGGGTGCACTTACCTACCTTCAGGCAAAACACTCAGGCACATAAAATAAAAATAATAAATAAAAAAAAATTTTGTCTTTCTGAGACAGGGTCTCCCTGTAGCCCCAGCTGTCCTGGAACTCTCACTGAGATCTGCTTGCTTCTGCCTCCTGATGGCTGGGATTAAAGGTGTGCACCACCACGCCCAGCCAGAAGACACATCTCTCTATGAGCCTACTGAAAACCTTTTCTGAAGCAGTGAAAACAGAAAGTAATAGAATGAATACATGCACGAGGAACTGGACGTTCATTTTTGTAAAATTTTTTAAAACCAGAAAATTTTTTTTTTTTTTTTTTTGCATTACAAGCTTTAGACTTGTAGGGAACTAGAAAAAGTCAGAACAGGGCCATTTTCAATTGTTCATATGAAAGTCCATTGGCATTTCTTTACAAGGGCTTCCAAAAACATCCTTCTATTGGGTTCTCCCTCATTTTTCTTTTGTCTTCCAAGGCTGGACTAGTTGGCTGGGAAGAGTGGCTGGATACTCAGGTGAGGGTCCAGTGACCCTGCATGGCACTCCTTTAATGAATGAGCACAACCGTCAACAAGGCA